ATTCTTGTTAGACTGTTGCGCTTTTTGGTAGTTGTCAACATGTTCGTGTTCATGCAGGCCTATTGTTGTGTGTGCAACATTTGTATGTTTGAAACCACCTCTGAGAAAAATGGGGCATGCCAATCACTGGCATTGCTTTTTTTGAAGTCACGGGTTGAAAAGTTTGGGAGCCCCTGTTGTAGGCTACTGATATCTGAACGGTCGGCAAATCCCACTCCTGATTTTCTTGTACATTCACACAGAGCACAATTCTGAGAATTTACTCGTAAAGTAACAACTTTTTATTGCAGAAAATAGCCAGAACTAATTTATGGGTGTTTTAAAAGATGAGATTTTACCATAAATATTTTAGAAAAAGTACAGATTTCCTGACAAAAGTCTTGTCCCCTATCCAAGTTTTAGGAAGAATTAATAACTTGACTTCTAGTTGATCATTTGCTATTAGAAGTGACTTATATGAAAGGCAAAGTCCTATTCATATATTCATCTTCAATGTCTCCTTCTTCATCTTTCTTCAGACATGCTCAATAATGTTCATGTTTGGTGACTGGGCTGGCCAATTTGCTTTCAGGAACTTTGATGCGGAGGCTGAAGTATGAGGAGGAGCGCTATCCTGCTGAAGAATTTGCCCTCTCCTCGGGTTTGTAATGTAATGGGCAGCACAAATGTCTTGATACCTCAGGCTGTTGATGTTGCTATCCCCTCTGCAGATCTCCTGTTTGCCCCCATACTAAATGCAACCCCAAACCATGATTTTTCCTTCAACAAACTTGACTGATTTTAGTGAGAATCTTGGATCCATGTGAGTTCCGATAGGTCTTCTGCAGTATTTGTGATCATTTGGACGCAGTTTGCAAATGATCAACTAGAAGTCAAGTTATTATTTGTTGCTCTTACAACTGGGATCGAAGACAAGACTTTTGTCAGGTAGTGTATATGTATAAAAGTGCTTATGAACCAGTGTACTTATTTACGGCTTCACCATTGTGTGCATTTAAAGTGAAACACTAAATAATTTGTGTCAAAACAGTTCAGTTCACTCCAAGTTTCTAAAAGGGCATGATAGGCAACATACTGTATGCGTAATGTTTATATAACAACAACAAATGAACAAGTCAATTACTAAATCACATTATTTTAAAATTGCGCTGCTCTCAGTTGCTTACATTCGTCATTAAAATAAACCAATGTGTCTGTGTCCTATGAAAACACTCTTGTGAAAATCACCAGCAGATTCGGTGTGATTATGCTGAATTATGTAAGGGGATTCACAGAGAAGCTGCTACGTTTGGATAATTTTCACCCTAAATCACAATATGGAAAATTGTGTTGCATAAAGAGACATATTTAGCATATTAAACCCTTTAGCAACAATTTTCAACCTCTGTTGGAAAAATAAATCCACTTTTGTTGAGCAAGATGGGCTTTTTATGCATTTTATGTAAAATGAATGGACATATGAGTTATAAAAGTAATGAAAAGGTTGGTCTTCTTGTGTATTATCACTACCGTTGGCTCTTTTAAGGGATTGCAGTCTCACGGTAATTTGCCCTGTTCAGTAAATCTGGCTCATAATCCCCTTTATGATTACTGAAGCTTGGTCAGACTGTTCTTTTTAAAAAATAAATCCAGTTTTTCATCCTCCTTTCAGTGCATCTGTTTCAGTGACCTGTGTGTTTGCACTGTATGCGCAGGTGTGGCTGTCACTTCATGGATACAGTATTCCTTTATGTCTGAAGTCAATTATGGCTGAATGCCATGTGGTTCACCCTCTAAAGTTTCATGTGTGTGTGCGTATAGCAGCCCAGGGCCATAATTATACCCCCTAACTTTTGCCCTGGATGAACTATTGGCATTCCTGGATCTAATGAGTCATTATAGCAATTTGCAAACGTGAGTGATGTCATCCTAATGGGATCAGTAAATGTGTTACTTGGACTTATGTGTGTGTCCTACTGGTCAAGTGCATAGTCAATGTTGATGTTTCACTGCTTTTGATTTAGTATATCTATTTTGATGGTCAAAGGGCTATTTTCAACACTAATTTAGTTTTCGCATGACTGTTATTAACATGACTTGCTGATTCGGTCAGTGAAACAGGATGATGCTATTGTAAATGTAAATCTCTTTGTTGTGAAGGTTCGCTCAGCAATATTCTCCATAAACTAGAACAATTGATCTGAAATATTAACATTACTGCAGAAGGCAGTTTAGGTATGTTAGTATAGTGCAGGGGTGGCCAACCCTGTTCCTGGAGAGCCACGTTCCTGCAGATTTCAGTTGCAATCCATATCAAACACACCTGCCTGTAATTATCACATGGTGTTCAGGTCCTAATTATTTGGTTTAGGTGTGTTTGATATGGGTAGCAACTGAAATCTGCAAGAAGGTGGCTCTCCAGGAACAGGGTTGGTCACCCCTGGTATAGTGCCTCATTGTGTTGCACTGAAATGCATAACATTGAATTGCGCATTTCAGATTTGAAAGGTGCCCTATAATCAAAAATCTGGGTATACCAAGGCATGGTAGAACAATAAGAGATCAGTACATAGACACACTGTGAGCCTGAGAGACCATTGTTTAAGTCAAAACGGAGCTCATTAATATTTACGACACAATCCATATAAGGTCAATTATAAACCCTCTGATTCTAGGGGTATTTTTTTGGAGTAATAAAAGAGCATATAAAACTATTTCTGGAGATATTTGAACTTATCGAAACCTGCTATGTAAATATCAGAGAACAATATAACTATATATTGTGAAAAAAAATCAGAATTGAATATGGCATCAAATTCTGAACTACTTAATGCTGGGTTAAACCAAACACAGAGAACCATTTCACTCTCTTTAGTTTACTCATGGGATGTTTTCCCCCTCATGCAAATTTTTTGCTTGACTATTTTGAATCAATTAAATGGCGATGATTCGTCTCTAATGTTTGCTTTGACTTCGTATGTTTAATATTGTATCTTTTAATATGGCATCTATAAAATAGTTGTTTCAACCTTTATGCATAAGTAAATAGAGCTATTTTGGGACAATGGAAAATAGTTTTGGGGATGTATTTTGTATGTAAAACCTGTAAAATATCAATGGGGCAGGAGTAGATCATAGGAATTAAGAAGGACAATAATTGTTTGAATTCATTTATAAAATCACATACAATTTATTTTTTAATCATTATAATATTCAAATGTTTGTTTGTTTTTTCGAAAGAGCTCATTTTTTATTTAAAAAATTAGCAAAATTAACATCTATTTTTTATATGTAGATATTTAGGTGTGAGTGTATTGGAGGTCAGCTACTTGGAGATATTTGAGTCTTGTTAGCATGTCTGCTTCTGTGCGGTGAATAGATCCCGTGGGGTTTTAGGAGCTGCCATCTTTATTTTCCTTGTAAGCACACACGTCCCCAGTTCTGTGAAGCAGTGGTTTAAAACGCCCTCGAAGTGTAGAAAGAGGAACGGATGGGTTACATTGGTGCTGTGACTCAGATAGGAGTGAGGTTTAGGGAAATAAGTGTATTATAGTACAGCTAGTAGGAGCTGTGTAAACCCACTAACTAATGCTAGCAACTGTGATCTTAAGCACCTCGCTGGTACACCCACCTCCCATGTTGGAAACGACAGCTCAAAATACCTCTCAGAGGGAGCAAATAGAACCTATAAGGGGTTATGCTGGTGCCGCGACGCAGTAGAAGTGAGGTTTAGCGGGAGGAGTGTATTGGAGGACAGCTAGTAGGAGCTGTGTAAGTAAACCTAGCAACTGAGGCTAGCAACTGTGATCTTAAGCACCATGTTGGCGCACCCACCTCCCATGCTGAACATGGCAGTTCAGAATCACTCTCAGAGAGGGCAAGTAAAACGTAAGTGGTTGTGTTGGTGTCGTGACCCAGATGGGAATGAGGTTTGGTATGAGTGTATTTGAGGACAGCAAATAGGAGCTGTGTAAGTAATAAGCAACTAATGCTAGCAACAGTTATCTTAAGGACCTTGTTGGCGCACCCACTTCCCATGTTGGAATGGCAGCTCAAAATACCTCTTAGAGGGAGCAAGTAGAACCTAAGGGGTTACGCTGATGCCGTGACGCAGATGGGAGTGAGGTTTAGCAGGATGAGTGTATTCGAGGGCAGCTAGTAGGAACTGTGTAAGTAAACCTATAGTAACTAATGCTAGCAACTGTGATCTTAGCACTTTATTAACACACCCACCTCTCATGTTGGAACAAGCAACTCAAAATTACTTTCAGAGGGCGCAAGTAGAACCTAAGGGATTAGAACCTAGGGGTTGGTGCCATGACCCGGATAGGAGTGAGGTTTAGCGGGATGAGTATAGTATAGCACAGCTGTGTACCAGTGTTCAGCCAGCTAGTTGGAGCTGTCCGAGTAAACCTCACTTAGGGGGGACTTTTGAGTAAAACTAAAAAGGCTTACAGAAAAAAAAATCATATGCATTTTAATATCAAACTTAAACAGAACTGAAACAGAAAAATGCTCAGTTGTCTGCTGACAATATTTATTGCACACTTTGGAACTGAACAGAAAAGATACAATACCTAAGTTGTTTGAAAAGTCCTAACTGCAATAAACTGGGTGCAACTGTAAATTTTAACACATTTATGAGGAACTCTGTGGGCGTGTGATTTTTGATTGGTCACTAGCTTGTGGCAATATGTTTATTTATATATTTATTTTCCCACTGTGTGGCTGTCACATGACACAGGCCACATCACACACACAGACACTAGCACAAACACACACACAGTGACCTGATTATGAGTAATGCAGCTTAATAAAGGACAGAGATAAAAAAATAAACACAAAGGACAAATCGTGCCGTCCACACGTTCCACAACACATGCTCAGCAACATATCTGATATTGTACTTACATATTTATGTGAATTTTATTGATATTACAAGCAACTGTTTTTTAACCCAAACAGGTGTTGTTTTGTTCAGGACCTGTTTTTGACCATCTCTTTCTCTCTTTCTCCATCAGGGGGACCCTCTTCCTCCATCTCTGGTGGATTTAGTAATGAACAGCCCAATTTCAACTGTAGACGATCTGAAGAAACTTTTGGATGTAGAATCCGTAGGTAAAGCTGATCCCATACCAATCCCAAATAGTACACAACAATATATATATATATATATATATATATATATATATATATATATATATATATATATATATGCATAATTTAGGGCTTGACTGTATGTGTGTGTGTGTGTGTGTGTGTGTGTGTGTGTGTGTGTGTGTGTGTGTGTGTGTGTGTGTGTGTGTGTATGTATGTATGTGTATATATATATATATATATATATATATATATATATATATATATATATATATATATATATATATATATGTGTGTGTGTGTGTGTGTGTGTGTGTGTGTGTGTGTGTATGTATGTATGCATGTAAGCAGTTTAATATACATACATACATACATACATACAGTAGTCATCATTTGAACTGTAGTGTTTCTTAGCCATAACTTTGTCACCAAGGGTTTTCCTGAAATTTTTTATCTGGTCTACATCAGGACTCTGGTCTGGCCATTTCACTATTTTAATGTTTTCCACTTCAATGAACTACAAATTACAAAAGAATTACAAAAGATTTTGACTGGATGATCACAGCAAATTATCAATTTACATAATGGTATATACAGTAGTCAACATTTGAAGTTGAACAAAATTGTTTTTCAAAGTTGTACTAAGACAAGAATGACTGTTCAATTGTTTTAGGAAAACTTTGATAAATGCAGATGATCCACTTCAAATGTTGACTACTGTATATCTCACTCTTCTTCAATCTCTTTCACAGATCACCGACTGTAGTGTTTCTTAGCCGTAACTTTGTCACCTAGGATTTTCCAGAGATTTTTTTATTAGGTTTATGTCAGGATTCTGGTCTGGCCATTTCATTATTTCAGTTTTACGCTTCAAGGAACTATTTTGTGTCCAAATTATGAAAAAAGTCAAATGAAAGAGTTCGTTCATCTAAAAAGAATATTTAAATTGTTATTAATTGCAAAATAATTACAAATCCATTGTTGTGATCCATTTACATCATGGTATATACAGTAGTCAACAAAGTCGATCAAAATTATTTTTTAAAGTTGTCCTAAGACAAAAATGACTGTTTAATTGTTTTAGGAAAACTTTGATAAATGGCAATGATCCACTTCAAATGTTAACTACTGTATATCTCAATATTCTTCAGTCTCTTTTACAGATCACCGACTGTAAGAATTTTCAAGAGATTTTTAATCAGGTTTACATCAGGACTCTGGTCTAGCCAAATGTTTAATACTGTATACATATAGTCGTATACTGTATGTGTGTGTGTGTGTGTGTGTGTGTGTGTGTACTTGCTTTGGCCGCGTTGCCCTTTTCATATCATCTTTGTCCATTGAAACCCCATATCAGCAGTACTTCAAACTAGCCAGCGTCTCGTCACTTCTGGAATGTGTGTGTTTTCTGGGGTGTGTTGACTGGGAAGGTGAGGCAGGAAAAGACTGAGGGGTCTGGAATGCTGTGTGTGTGTGTACATGTGTGTGCGCATGCATGTGGATAATGGTAATATTTACATGAATGGGCCGTGTATAGCCACTCACAGGCACAATAGCAGTGACCTTGAGCCCAGTCCAGCTCTAAGTTTACAGAAGGGACACAAACACAAGGCTACGCTATTGTTCCCGACACCGGAATCCTCTGCGTGTGTGTGTGTGTGTGTGTGTGCATTTTAGCCAGATTCAACAATGTTATGACCCTCGCTACAACAACTGGAACACCAGACGAATGTCGCTTATGGATATAAAGGGCTTGAGCAGATTTACAGCAAGGTGACGGGACAGTGGAATCAAGAGGATTCAAATGGCAATCCCAGACGCAGCAAGTCTTATGCATGAGACATAAGCTAAACAGAGCTGCACAACAGAAAAGCAGCATACAACAATTGCTAAATCGATCGAGCTAAGCTTTGATCGGTGGGAGAATGGTAGTCATGCGTACAAGTTTGAATTTCGGCAGTTAGGATTTACATGTCTATCAAACTGCTCCTATGCTGAGTGGGTGGTTCTTTTTAAGACACATTTTTTATTAAACATGACCTGTTTATGTCAAGACAGATAGCTGTATTGCTAACTTTATTAGCATCTACACCGAAGCATGTTATATGTTTTAGAGCACACTGCAGTTTTCTTGCACTTACGATTTAAATGGTAAAGCTCATTAAAATACAGGATTGTTTATTTTTTTTATTGTTATTATTATTCCTTTTTGTTGCATAAGCATACTGCCAATTGAGCTATCTACACTGATCAAACTAATTGAATGGATGCTGATTGGCTGTCAAATGTTTATTATTGTCAATCTATTTTTCTGATAGTAATTCAAACTACATAAATTTTTCTGTCATTATCGTTATTTACAAACAATTATGAAAACAAATATATAACTAAATGTCTATAAAAATAATAAATATTTTAGTTAAACTAATAGTATATTAACATTAATAAGAGTAAATAATATAGTGTTTCGAAACCATGGGTTTACTCCAGGTGCTCCGGTTTTCCCCAAGTCCAAAGACATGCGCTATAGGTGAATTGAGTAAGCGAAATTTTTCTTAGTGCATGTGTGTGAATGAGAATGTATGGGTGTTTCGCAATGATGGGTTGCAGCTGGAAGGGCATCCTGCATACACATATGCTGGATAAGTTGGTGGTTCATTTCGCTGTGGCGACCCCAGATTAATAAAGGAACTAAGACGCACTACAGTTTTGTGCTCTGCCACTTTAAATCTTCAGGCTCATAAAGTCAGGTGGATTCTGATCATCTGTCAGTGTTTATAATGTTTTTTCAGCCAGAAAACACTTCTGAAATTGATTAAAGCAATATTGTCTCTCTGTTTTGTCCCACAACAATATTATTCATTGTCTGGTATCAAAAAGGAAGCATAAAATAATTAAATCTAATTACAAATTGCCTATTATACACGGTATTTATGTGCACTGTAGAAGTCATTGGTGGGTTGTCTATAAAGCACTGTTAGCTTGCAACAAGCTAGCATGAAGGAAATGTAATTACAAATGGAGTTTTACACAATATTCATACTGCAGAATTTAGGCTAATTTTTGAATAACATGATTAGCGTAGCGACTAGCTATAATAAATAGTTCAATGAATTGCAAGTGCACAATTTTACGCAATAATTATATCGAATTTTAGTTGATGCTAATTAGTTTAGCACATTGTTAGCTTAGCATTAGCAACATAATGAAAAATGGCTACATCACATTGCAAACAGTCTGTTGTACATAATAGTAATCTGTGTTGTTGGTAACTGTTATAGTTGTGATGTAGAGGCCCGTTCAAACTAAGAATGATAACTTAAATATTACCATCTGAAGCAAAGGACAATAATTTTTACAAGCTCTTCAGTTTTTAAACACTTTAAATCCTTAAGTTGATCCAAGTATTACACTTCTTGTCTTGAGTCTAGCCCAAATGTCTAAACTTAAAACTTGAAGACTTTTCTAAACAAGCAAATATGTTTTCAGAAATAACCCTGCCCATTGGTGGATTATTTTTGCTTGGTTTAAGTAAAAACTCACTTAATTTTGCCATATTATGTCTAAAAACAAGACAATATTTTTAGCTTGACTAGAAAATTCTTCTTGATTTGAGCATTTTGAGACATTTAGACTAGAATCGAGACAACAACTCCATGTAAGAAAACAATTTTTTGCAGTGTATATAACTTATATGAACCTAATGCTACCCAATTTTTGCTACCCAAAGTGCTGATGATCGGTGTTTCATATTATGAATTCCTTTCTTTATTTTGTCTTTCGTTTTCAGAGGAAGATGATGAGAAGCCAGAGACCGAGATGCACTCGAACGGAACACACAAACGTCTTCCCAGAAGCCTTAGTAAGTCCGTTGCAGCGTTCCCTCCCTTCCTCTCTTTGTCTGGCTGTCTCTTTTCCACACTCCCGTCTCTTCATCTTTGTCCTCCAGCGGAATTTGAATGTATGTTCCAGTCTGTGGCGATTATTTTGAGACACTGGCATCTCCATTCCACAATAGTGTTGTGGCTTTGTTGCAGTGCGTTTTGTGCGAGTGTGTGAGATGTGAGACTGGAGTCTGCTGTTGCGTCTCTGTGATTGATTCTGTCTCGTCCAGTCTCGCCACATGTCCTTAGGTCACCCTCAAACACACACACACACACACAAGTTTCAAAGCTCAATTTGAACCACCCACGCTTCTTTCGCACATGCACTCGAACCCTTATGTTCTTTTCAACTCTCTCTGAGTGCTCACTTTCAGTCAAGTGCGCCTTGCATCTGCAGATTGTACACACTGACAGCACTGAGAGGCTGAATTATAGTGAGTGTCTGAAGCCTCGTCTGTCTGGATCATTTTAGTGATGGATGCTTTTGAAGCAATGCTTCATGAATTTAAAAATCTTTACAAATCTTTTATTTCGAATTAGTGGCTCAGATCAAATGTTTATCATTGATTTATTCTGCTGAATGTAATTCAAACAACATCATTCCTTTGAGTCATTATTGTTAATGACAAACAATAACGATAACAATATTTACATCAAAAAATACTTTAGTAATAAATAGTAAGTAATGTTATGTTGTTTAACCAAACAATAGTAAAGTTGTTGAAGTATAACAACTATTGTAATATAAACAAATGCCTATGTTTTGTATATATGAGTAGCAATGGGATATGGCTGTATATCGACACTGGTGGGAGGCATGTGTTGGACACATGCGATACAGCATATCGCACTGCTACTTGTGTGATATTGCATTTATACAACAGTTCAACAGCATAGTCGTGTACATTAAAAAAAATAAAAAACCCTTTTGTTCGAGGAACTACTTTCTTCCGACGTTCATTCAGATCTGCAGCTGACGTCAGAACAGCAGAAACCATTGCTTAAAAATACGTCACTTTAGAGCTGATATTTTAATGATTCACTAGCGTAATGTCTAAAGTCATGACAAAACAGGTGATTTTGCTGACATTTTAAGATTATAAGGCTGAACGGCATGAAATGCTATCAGTCTACAGAGATTTCTCAGTATTTCACTGTTGCAGTCAGGAGATCACAATAATTAACTCTGAAAAAGCCAAAGCAAAGCAAACACTAGCAGATTACTATTGTATAAATACAGCACTACAACATACAAAAGAGGGAGATTGATTTAAAATGTTACTTGCCTGTTTGATAATGATTTGTTCAGCTATTGTTTAAAATCCAAAGCTATAGTTTAAAATCCAAAGTTTTTCCTCCCCTAATGACTCATTGTGTGGTCTCTCTCCCCATCTTGTGGCGCAACCATCTTTGCTCTGCTCAGTATGACAGGCCGCCGATCTCCAAAATTATAATATTTAAAATAGGCACTATTCTTAAATAAACTGCATTGTTGCAACCTAAACAACTACATTCTCTTCTATAAAAGCCTCAAAAGTATATCATGTTGTCTAACAGCTGCAGTATTTGTCAAACTATAGTGAGTTTATTGATCTGCTGTCACTCTATGTGGGCGTAGTAATACACAAAAGTGAAGACGCTGTTGGAATTATGTTATCGCAGAATATTGCATCAGATTTGAGAAACAGACAGAATTGTTTCACTGTAGTTTTTTTCTAGATATAAAATGAATACATTAATACAGTATGATACACTACTATTGTATGGTTAAAAACACTATTGTATGTATTTACTTTCAATATTGTTTAAATACGTCCACACAAATGCATGTTCATGCTCTTTTTTTTACACACACTGCAGTTTTGATTCTGTCACAAACACAAAACTTTTACAAATCTTTGGAGTGTGTCTCAATTGGTGAGATCACATGATTTCAGTAAACGGAGTTTAGTTGCATCACAAAAACGTTTTTGAAACGGAAAGTATAATAGTGTTTGTTTTTTGCTTGGATCAGTTTTACTAGTTTGTAAATTTTTTAATGAGACATTTGTAAAATGAAAAGGAATAATATTTGTTAAAAATTTCTTGTTGTCCAGTTTAGCGGAACCCAACAGGGAACAAATAGTATGCATGCCTTAAAAAAATATAAAAGAAGAGATGTTATTCAGACACATATGTAAAGACATTAAATGATAAGCTAAGTGCACTTATAGTATATTCAGTTTAAAGTTTGCATTATTTTCAATATTTTATTGAAAAAAACAAATCCATGTTCGCGTGGGTTTTCTCCGGGTGCCCCGGTTTCCCCCACAGTCCAAAGACATGCGCTATAGGTGAATAGGGTAAACAAAATTGGCCATAGTGTATGAGTGTGTGTGAATGTGAGAGTGTAAGGGTGTTTACCAGTACTGGGTTGCAGCTGGAAAGGCATTCGCTGTTTAAAACATATGACGGAATAGTTGGTGGTTCATTACACTGTGGTGACCTCTGATAAAACAGAGACTAAGCCTAATGCAGAAAACAATTCTAATGCATGCTTTGCTCGAGTTTTTGTTGCATTTAAGGTTTTGGCATGTGCTGTTTTAAATTTTAGAATAATTTTGTGAAGCAATTAGTTTAATGCTTTGTTTTACCCATCAGTAGTTTATCTTACTTTCATCCAGTTTGACTTTTGAAGCATGTGATAAACGTTAAACAAAGATTAATTTAACAATCTTTCAACCTTTCTTTCACAGGCATTCAGGTGGCCCAGCAGGCTATGTGTAAAGTGAGGACAGAAGTTATGGAAGTGACCCGTGCGATGTTTGATAGACGAAATGCCAACTTTATGTTATGGCCTTCATGTGTAGAAGTGCAGCGCTGTTCAGGCTGCTGTAATGCTCGAACTTTACAATGTGTGCCAGTCATCACTGAAACGCGACATCTACAGGTATTTATAACTATGTTTCATGCTAATTACTGTATAAAATTGTTAGCTAGCAATTTTAATTACAAAAAAGTTGCAGTATATTAAAATTATATTTTTTCTGCATTTTATGTTTTATAGTAATTAGTCTATAACATTGTTAGCATGGCTTAGCAACATGCTATCATAACATTCATGTCAGGTCATTTTCAAAAGGGCTATTTTAGACAATACTCATATGTATTAATATAGTCTATAATATTGTTAGGTTAGAAACATGCTAACAATATATTTTGGTCTAATTATAAATATATTAGCTTGTCAAAAAGTTAGTATGCTAATTTGTGTACCATGTTGTTAGCTTAACCAATGCTTATATAAAAAAAGTTAAATGTAATACCAATTGGATAAATTATTTTATCAATTTTTTTTGAGTGTTTATCTCAGTGAATTAGCTTATAATTTTGTTAGCAAAGCCATTGCTTTGCTAACTACTACAATGCTAATTTGTCTGGCTGCTTTCAAAATCGCTTTCTACTCGAGTATGTTCTATATAGTATGAATGTTAGTAGTACGAATGGATCTTAGATGTACTACATCCGCCATTTTGTCATCATCATTTGACCTATACGCTTAATGTGCATCGCTTCACTCCCATACATGAATTCTTTCGAAGTGTATCATGGGATATCGTAGTGCTCATCGGATGCGCACTTCTGAATCTCACTAAAAGTAGTAGGTTATCCGGGTACTTCTTGCATACTGTTTTTTTAAATTCTATGAATTTGGATATACTACTCGGCTCTCATACTGTTTTTAGCATATTCCCACATAGCAAAATTTCTCTGGCCCACACAATCCGGTTTTGCTTGGCCCACATGCCGCAGTGATTTATGGTACATGACTGGACCAAATCTGGCTTCCAGACAAGGGCCAAACACAGACCATATCTGGGCCAAGTCTCAGCCAAGTTAATAACTCATAACTGGGCCTGAACTGGGCCAGATAGGTTGATGTGTCGCGATTGCAATGAAATTGATAAACCCATGGAGTGATGCGCTTTAGGCACACTACGGGCACGCTTTTTCTCAAAGTGACCTGATTGGTAGAATTTTTTTTCTTTACTCAAAAATGATTTTAGTGTATTTTAAATGTGGGTCAAGACTGGCCAAACTCACATGGCCCACTTATCAAATTTTTATATCTGGGCCAAATACTACATTTTTCATCTGGCCCAAATCTTGTGTGCCGCCTTAAAAACGGTGCCACCTCTGTCAAACCCGGGCCATGTTTGGCCCACATACTGTATGCCAGTGCCGGATGAATGCCTGCTGTGCCAGCTTTTTGCCAAATCTGGGCCAGAATTCTTTGCTACTAGGGTTATATAGTATGGAAGTATGCAATTTTGGATGCAGCCTTTGTTAGTTTAGCAGAAATCTAATTGCAAATACTTTTTTATGTAGGTCACAGATTTTTACAGATTTAGTGTAGGTCACAGATGTTTAAAGTGATCTGATTTTGTAATGGTGCGATTGAAGTGCTTGGGCTGGCTGACTGAAAATTAAAAGTATGTGTGCGTATACTAAATTATTTGTTAGCAACATGCTAAAATCAAATCCAATTGAAGTAGAATTTATGTCTGAAGTTAAATTTCATATTGCATGATTGCAAATGACTCTCCTAAGTTTGGAATCTCAGCAAGAATTTTTTATTTTAAAAAAGATATCTAATAAATGTCTAATAGACGTCTAAACATAGCTGTTTTGGCTAAAACAACGCTAAACTTTAGCTATCATCTAATAGATGTCTAAGAATAGGCCAAAACTAGACTAGTCATCAAATAAACAGAAATGAATGACTACTCATAGAACGTCTGTCTATTTGATGACTAGTCTAGTTTGGTGCTATTCTTAGATGTCTATTAGATGTTCACTGACAGCCCAAGTTTAATCTTGTTTTAGCCAAGCTGTCTAAGTTTAGATGTCTTTTAGACGTCTATTAAACACAAAATTGTTTACTCTTTGGATTTGGATACTTTTTTGGGTCCAGAAAGAAATGGTTAACACAAATTTTTTCGATTTTATTTTCTAGATAACAAAAATCCAGTATATCAACCGACAACCATCCTACGAGAAAGTTGTCATACCCGTGGAGGACCATGTGACATGTAGCTGTCAGTTACGTGTCCCAGCACAACCACCACGTGTCCAGACCACACCCCTTCCCCCGCCCAGACTCCTCCCTAAAGTAACTCCACCAAAGACCCAATCAAAAGAGGAGCTGCACCGCAATGATGAACTAAAACATAACCAGCAGCTTCATTTGGAGGACAAAGAAAGTCAAGAACTACAATGGCAGTCCAAATACACTGTCGCACACACAGACAGACAAACCCCACACCAACACACACTCACACACACGCCAGCTTATGCCAGCCGAGGAGATTTTCCCACCAGACAGACTACATTGGGAAATCCACACATGATGAGTGATGCAACACAAACAGAGGAGGCTGATCACATCAAATCTGAACACAGTGGTGACGACATGGCCAAAAAGACTACCTACAAACATTCACATGAGGAACAACCATTCAACAGGACGACACCACAGCAACCAAAATCTCCATCGCAAACTTCTGTCCAATCAGAACGTGGCATAAGCAGCCAATCAGACACTCTTACACGCACTTACAGCCATGTTGAAGTGATTGGCCAATCAAGCGGCTTATCAGAAGTACTAACCCATCAGTCTGACCAATCAGAAGTTAGAAAACGTCACCACCACAGCCACCAATCAGAAAAACAAGAGGAAATGCATCATCTCCGTCACCAACACCACCAACATCATCAACGTCACCAGTTTACAACACAAGCAGTTAGCAAACAACAGACTAGCACACAAAGAACAGGTCAGTGTAAAGATTGACTATTAAGCCACTGTTTGTGTGTGTGTGTGTGTGTGTGTGTGTGTACACATTGTATTGTAATTAGGAATTGATGCTTCCTGTCATTCTTTCCATTTCTTTAACGTCAGAGCTCGCAAATGAAGCCACAGGTCAATAAAGTCATGTAATGCTAATATTGTGATGACTGCCTGGAGAGTAATTCATTCAACGCTGATATGATATGAAAACATTTCTAACTGCATTCCTTTGACTGTTTTCTTTGTTATCCTGTAGTGATGAAAGCTCCTCCCACCACGCCCTCAGCCCCACAGACTCCGCCCCCTCTCCCGTCTCCACGAAAACGGAGACGGAAACATCGGAAAAGGATCAGCAAGGCTTCCATGAGAGCGATGATAATGTAATGCTTCTATTATACTTTTAACACATCTAGCTTTGTTACTTGAAAATGTACGAGGGTCAATGATGTGAGAAAAACATGCAGGAACAAAACAAGACGTCATTTAGCTGTTGTAAAATGTCATGTGATGCAAAAAAGTTACACCTTTTTATGAGTTATTTTGAATTATATTTGACACTGGAACCACCAGAATCCTATTACTACTATTCATTTAAGACTGTACTGAATAATTTACCTGTATAACTGTCATTTTTGTCAAGTCATGTTTACATTTGAAGCTTCAATTAGGGATTATAGAATTAAGCTTTTAATGTGATATTGTAATGCCATAATATTTTATGGGGCGGCACAGCTTGATCTCGAGGAAATGCAAGTATTTTATGTTTTGTCAGTTTAGCGGCTAATTCGGCTAATTTGAATTCGGTCGCACAAAAATGTTTGATTTTAAAAAGGAGGCGTGGCACCCAACCCCACCCCTAAACCCAACCATCATTGGAAGATAAGCACATCATACTAAGTTTTATGAATGAGATCGTATGAATTCATTCGAATTAGCCACTAAATCAAAGTTACGAATTGCAGTGAGACTGTGTTGGGCGGCATGGTGGCTCAGTGGTTAGCACTGTCGCCTCACAGCAAGAAGGCAGCTGGTTCGAGTCCCAACTGGGCCAGTTGACATTTCTGTGTGGAGTTTGCATGTTCTCCCCGTGATTGTGTGGGTTTCCTCCGGGTGCTCCAGTTTCCCTCACAGTCCAAAGACATGAGGTACAGGTGAATAAAATAAACTAAATTGGCTGTAGTGTATGGGTGCATGTATGAATGTGAGTGTATGGGTGTTTCCCAGCACTGGCTTGTGGCTGCATAGAGCATGTGCTGGAATAGTTGGTGGTTCCTTCCACTGTGGCAACCCTTGATAAATAAGGGGCAATGAAAACGAGGAAAATTAATGAATGAACGAATATTAAGTATATATACAGTCGTTACCTAAAAACTATTATCGTTTTTGTAATATAGCCTATAATGGTGTACAAAGTGCGAAGATGCATACTTTAATTTATCCTGCAAGCAAGAGAGAAATGGGTTTTTTTCACTGGTGTTTTTGAACGTTGGAAGTAAACTTATGTTTTTGCTATCAAAGAGTTGTTTATGTTTATCAGAATGTTACTAGGCAACAGAAGCACCATGTTCAAAAGAGTGGAAAAAAAGCAGACGCTGAAATGCATTCGGTCAACATTATGAACATTCAAGGCAGAAATACTCATAACTCTTTCGTTTTTTGCAATTTTAATAAAATAACAATTTTAGAATGAAAAATACATGCTTACGACAAGTCAAGGGGTAATTTTAACAAAATTTTCAAATTCATTGATTTTTTTTTAGCTAAGTCCCTTATTTATCAGGGCTTGCCACAGTGGAATGAACCGCAAACTATTCCTGCGTATGTTTTACACAGCAAATACCCTTCCAGCCACAACTAAGTACTAAAAAACACCCATACACACTTATATTCATAAACACACTCATACACTTTGGCCAATTTAGTTAATCCAATTTACCAGATTGTGGAGAAAACCGGAGCACCCGGAGAAAACCCATGCCAACAAGGGGAGAACATGCAAACTCCACACAGAAATGTCAACTGGCCCAGCTGCAACTCGAATCAGCGTTTTTCTTGCTGTGAGGCTAAGTGCTAACCACCATGCCACCCCAAGTTGACAAAATTGAAAAACAGTCAAAATGACTGTTCTAGTGATAAATATAAGCAGTGTAAATCTTAGGATAATGTATGGAATCATGCCAACAATCTAATAAATCATGTTAACATTGCGCTAAACTAGTTAGCATGGTTCAAAGTCATGCTAAACTTAAATTAGCAACATGCTACCTTTTAAAACCATCTGAAATCGTTCATGCTAGGCTTTCTAAAAGCTGAATACATGTCCTTTTTAAAAAAAAAAATGACAGGAATTTATCTCAAGTTTAAGAAAATGTGTCCTTACTTTTTGATTGATGGTTGCAAAACATGACATTTTCTCAGTAACAGAAAACATTTTCCTTCATGTTTTTTATAAGTGAAATCACAAACATCAAAAAACATGCATTTGAAGGGGAAAATGATTTAGTTTCAATGCCTATAAAATACTGAACATTGAAATGTGAAATGGATTCAAATGTAATTTTTTTCTCTTGAAAAATTGTTTTAAAGTGAAATTAACTTGAAAACAAAGAGTATATTTCTTAAAATTGGCTTGTACTTGTAGTATTAAACCTATAATATATCATTGACTCATCAGTCGGCATAATTAATGTCACAAAAAAGAAGCTCAAACATATCCCTAGTTAAGCATACAGTGCTAAACAGGCTGCAATTCAGCTTGGTGCAATTAGTATTGCGGAAATGACACACTGCTACTTTAACCAAGCTGTTAAATTTTAAACTGAAATCTAATCAAAGATCTAACCCGATTTGGCTCTCAATCCTCTCAACAGGGTAATGTCCTGAAGAAGACCAAGACTCTGCAAACTGCTGCCAAAGTCCCAGGAGCGAGCACAAAGCTGGGATTCTGGGTGGAGACACACAGGATATAGCAGAGACACACTGGAAATCTTTTTATAATAACTGGAAATGTCTTTGATCTTTGCCAAATAAGCTCCCCTGAACTACATTTCCCATCAGCCACTGCAGTTGTACGGCCTCTGCGCTACGGGAGCTGCTCATACTCAGGATATCCTGTTAGCATGGACTTAAAAAGGATTCCATATGGACGCAAACACAGCCTGCCAAATAGTGAGACTGTATTTAAAACACAACATGGTTGTGCTCTGCCAAAAACACTTCATTCAACACAACGACTGCCAAATGTGGTGCAATATTGACTTGAACTACTGGTTGGCCAAGAGTTTGGCTCAAATCAGTGATTAGTGATTAGCTACGACAAAGTAGCCTTTAAATGCCAATGAATGTCGTCGACCAATGGTGGCTCGGGTTGGACAGTTTATCCACTGGAGGAACTACTGGAAGAAGATGCAACTGGAAGCTGTTGGACTTTAAAATCGGACTCTCAAAGAGGAGAAACGAAGCTCAGGACTTCCAGACTAGTATAAAATATAATTAATTATTACAAACTCATCTCAAAACCTATAATCTGTACATTTGTCAAACTATTTAAACACTCCAAGTTTATTAAACAAAAAAAAGTGAAATATATCAGCTGGCTAGATATAAAATCAAGGAGTTAAAGCACTTAACAAAAAAAATTAAATAAAAAAATGTTTTTGGACATTTACCATGGTTATATAATGGTATTCGTTGAAGTACTTTGGAGTACCATGTATAGACCATGGTATATGAATATGGTAATCCATCTGATGCCATGGTACCGCCTCAGTACTTTTCGTCTAAGGATCTCTCAGCCTAAGTAGAAATCTGTTTTATGGCAATATATGCAAATTACACATATGGTATACAAGTTCATATATATGAGCATTATCACACAAGTAGCAGTGCGATATGTTTGTATATCGGCACTGGTGGGAGGTGTGCGTTGGCTCGAGTCAACAGGCCGAGTGCCTTAGTGTCCCACCAGTGACGATATACAGCCATATTGCACTGCTACTTGTGTGATATTGTGTTTATACAACTGTTCGAGGGCATAATCGTGTATACATATAAGAATGTATACATATAAGAAAATCAAACACAGTGGGTCTAAAAACTCTTTTGTATGAGGAACTACTTCCTTCCGCCACTCAGTCATGTCTGCAGGTAATATCAGCAGAAGCTGTTGTTACGTTTTTGTAGCAAGTATTTGAGTGATTCTCTTGCGTAATGTCTAAAGTGATGACAAAACAGGTGATTTTGCCCACATTTTAAGATTATAAGACTGAACGGCATGAAATGCCATCAGTCTACAGAGATTTCCCAGTATTTCTCTGTTGCAATTAGGATATCACAATAATTAACCCCAAAAAAGCCAAAGCAAAGCAAACACTAGCAGATTACTATGGTATAGATACAGCACTTCAACAAACAAAAGAGAGAGATGGACTCAGAATGTCACTTACCTATTCTGTAATGATTTGATTAGCTGTAGTTTGAAATTTACACTGAGTTTTTTCCCCTAAGGACCATTATGCGTCACCATCTTATGGCGGAACGGCAACAGTCTTTGCTCTGCTCAGTATGACAGGCTGATGGCTGCTGACACGCTGAATCTCCAAAATATTATATATAATTATAATATTATAAACATTTAAAATAGGCAATATCCTTATAAATGAACTGCATAGTTGCAATCTAAACAACTACATTCTCAACTAAGAGTCTCAAAAGTACATTATTACGGTGGCTGAGAGAGAATGCAATTGCAATTGCAATTTAAGAAAGCATATACAATTACTAAAAAACACCAGCAAATAAAGAAATTATCTTGCTCAATTTGTCAGCACACTTGTTGCAAATTCTCACAACACAAACAACTAAAAAAAAAGCGCACCAATTGGTCACAACACAAACAACTTAAGAAACGTGCAATAATTGGTCACAACACAATCAACTGAAGAAACAGGCTGCAAATTGATCACAACACAAACAACTTAAGAAACATGCAACAATTAGTCAACAACACAAACAACAACAAAAAAACACAATTGGTCACAACACAAACAACGAAAGAAACGCGCTGTAAATTGGTCACAACATAAACACCTAAAGAAATACGTTGCAATAACTCAAGACACTTGCAAATATCCATGTAACACAACGAACTTCCATATCTCAACAGGGTCCGTCATTTTTTTGAGTCCTCTTAAAATATTTCCATTGTGTTACATGGTTATTTACAAGTGTCATGATTAATTGCAGCGCGTTTCTTAAATTGTTTGTGTTGTGACCAATTGCTACGCATTTCTTCAGTCGTTTGTGTTGTGAACATTTGCAACGTGTACTGTCATATTGATAAAGATCGTTTCTTTATTTGCTAGTGTTTTTTTTAATTGCTGGTGCTTACTTAAACTGCAGCCCATTAGACTCTTTTGACCACCGTACTATCTGTTGTCCAACAGCTGCAGTATTTGTCAAACTGTAGTGAGTCCTTTGATCTGCTATCACTATGTGGGTGGAGTATTACAAAAGGGTGAAGAGGCTGTACAAGTGCTGTTATTGCAGAATATCACATCTCTATAAGCCAATGAGATTCGAAAACCAATATATAAATATATAGTTAAAAAATATTTGGGGTTCGCCTATAAAAAACATGTCATACATGCAATATATATTTGTAAATATTGCAAAAATGGCCGTTTACGAATATATTTTATCAACCATTGGAATAATAATAATTAAGTATTTATTTAAATGTTTGCGTGTGTTCATATATGTTCATGTTCATATATATGGACAATATATGAAAAAATATAGCTATTATATGTATATATTTGTAATTCCAGTGACTGAAAAAAAACATATACTGTAATCGGTCATTTTTGCAACAGTTTGACATATATTTGATATATGTGAAATCCAAATGTGAACTTTTATGTGTCGTGTAATTTGCATTTATTGAATTTCTATATGGTAGTATCATACACAGTATTTAATTGGTGCAAAAACACTGGAATATCATACACTGGAAATTACTACGTACAGTATGAAGTGCTGTGAGCACAATATGTTTGCATGTTTGTAGATGCACGGTCAAATAGTACCTTAACCAATATTTAAATAAAAGAATAAGAAGATTGTGTTTAGCTGTGATGAGGTTACAGTGAAATACTCCCATCCTGTAGGGGGCGGTATGGAGTGCTCTGTCGTTTTATGCCTGCTGTCTCCAAACATCCATCTGTGTGCTCAACTGCTTCTGGAAACATGTCAAGCTATGAAATAACTGTTTGTAAATGTCACATTTCTTTTCTGGCTTTTTACGTAACTTATTTATAAATGGTAGATGCTCTACTCATCTGCTTCCGAGAGTTATTAATAAATTGTATTTGTTTTCAATGGAAATTATTGTTAATGTAATGATGCTATTTTAATATAAAGTATTCAATTTATTGTTGGGTTGATGTTGTTTTTATTGCTTTTTGTGAAAATGTGTTAAGTTCTAATATGGGGACTATTTTACCTTCACTGCAAGCTCATTAAGCCAATGGATTTGTTAAAAAAAAAAAATCTTAAATGACACTTACACCTAAGAAATCTAGTTAAACACACAACCCTGTTTTCCATCCTAATGTAAAGCGAATATTTTCAAATTTCAGCAAAAAAGAAAGGAAATCTTAAATGTGCATTTTCAGCAAGTTGCTATGCTTTGTTCACACCAGACACACACAAATAAATCATGATTTTCACGTGTAAATAAACGTGTGAACATTCTGTGTTTACTCAAATTCACTTCACAATAGTTGCAGATTCACGTTATGGGTGAGGCTTTTGTCTGCCCGATGACTCTAGCTATGTTACAAAATGGCTAACAGATATAAATGAGAAAGTAGCGGTGCTTTATGTACTTTAGGAAGGCTGAAAAACAGCATAGATTCCTTCGGCGCCGTGTCTGAGTCCAATAAATCTTTTCAGAGGTGCACCCAGCTCTGTGAGTTTGTCAACTCCTCTAGAAACTATACCTGGATGATGGAGGCTTTCAGCGTTGCTTTAGACTAAGCCGAGCCCAGTTTGATTAACAGTTTTCCGGCCAGAGATTTCCCCTCAGGATACCACCAACAGGCACTACTTCATAATTAATCCCCTACAAGAGCAAGCTTATGATTGGTTAACGCGGCATGAATGTCCACTGATGTTGGCCATTAACGATTCAGAATTGCGTCATTCACACGCCTCATTCGCGCAAATTGTGCAGCAGGATGTCTAATCGCATCTTTGCATTGACTTAACATGTAAATAACTCGTGCTTGACTCTTCCTCCGAGTCTGGTGTGAACGCAACATTAGAGTGGTTGACTGTAGTATTGATAAACTATTAACCAACAGTAAACAAGACAATTGTAATGAATAGAGCTGATTAGTCAGCTGGGTGTAATCTTTGCTACATCAGAGTTTGGCAAATACTCTTAATATTATAGTTTACACTTTACACTTTTTTGAACGATACTCTTATTCCATCGTAATAACCAAAAAACGTTGTTGACGTATCATGACTCCAGCAGGCATAATGATATTGTGCAGCACCTGAAAATTGTAACATCATTGCGTAATATCATTTGCATCCATAGAACAGCAGCAATGTTACATGGTTATTACGGAAAAATAACAGTTTCTAGCCATTTCAGCCTAGAAAATAGCAACTTTTCATTTACCTTCAGTCTTAAGGCTGATTTATACTTCTGCGTCAGCGCATGCCTTCCATGTATTTATGCATTTATGCTACTGCATGCTGTTTGTGTTGCTTTGTAAATGTTAACCAGTGTTGCCAACTATTTTCAATGAAAAGGCGCTAAGCTCTGTTCGAAAAGTTGATAAATGTTGCTAGATTACATCATGCGTCAGTTTGCATTTTACCGACGTCATAACGTCCAGCAGTTTCTGTTTGTTTAACAGACTATGGCTAACAAAGGGGTATTTATATTTGCACTACGCTTTACATACGCATGTCAATTTAATTATATTTATTGTTATTTGACTACAGTAAATCAGTTTAGATGTATAGTGAATTTACAGTGATCTCTCAGACATAATAAACTCACACAAATTCAAAAACTGTCACTCAAATCTCTGTGATTGTGAACAAATATAGAACAAACGGTCAAATAAAATTGTTAAATTTAAAAGAAAAGAGAAGCAAATTGGTTTGACTAAGAGATGGCTGTGTGGTACTGGGTTGCCTGTGAGTGCCTTGAGGTGGGGGATGGGCCAACAGATGAGATTTAAAATCTCCAGTAACACCATAAAAAGTCTCTAGATTGTCGCTTTTTTTGAAAATTTGAAGCTAAGAGGGACTGAAAAGTTGCTAAATATAACAACAAAGTCATTAAGATGGCAACACTGATACTAGCTGGTAGTATGTTTTTATGTTCCTCTGTGTCGAGGTTTTTCGCGGGTTTTTTTTCTGATGCTGCCTTAATAATGTACAAATAGCTTAAACTGGCTAATTAAGAGGTGGGAACTGGCGGACATGAAACAACTTTAATCATAACTGTGAGTTCACACCAAAAGCAGCGAAAGCGTTAAAGTAGCCGGAAGTCATAAATTTTTAATCTGAGCTAGCGGTGATGAGAGGCGAAGAGTGACACAGCGTGTCTGCGCTGGTATGGGCGTCGAGGACAGTAGAAATCAAGTCAACTTTATGGTTATGATCTGTGAGGCATTTCGGCGACAAGCAATCAAAATGTGGAAGTCCACGGCTTGAGAGGAGTCCAGTAGTGATGCGCAGATGGCAGCTATATCCGCGAGCGCTGCATATAATCCACGGGTCAGGCGAGTCGAGTTGGGTAATAAAAAATACATTATGATTAATTGCGATTGGGTCACGGGTGGATGTAGCGGGACATGGCAGTGGACCAACTAAAAAGCAAAGAGTGGGATTTGCAGAATGGGAAGATGAGACGCCCAAAATAATGGATGAAATGTAAGAGTACTGTTTAAACTTTCATTTAGAGGAGTCATCAGAGGAAAATCTGCAATCATTCTGGGAGACACAAGATCGCTTATTTACACGTTGGCAGCGCCTTGAGAAGAATCTTGTTCATTTCTACAACAAGCAGTGAAAGAGAATGCTAATTCTGCAGCTGGCCGCATTTTGGAAGCGAGGTGGAATGGCCCGAATTTAGGCACAGTAAATGATATTCTGTTTTTGCACAGTGCAAAGAAAGGCCAAGTAAACACAACATAGCTGCGGTTTAGGCTGAAGTGGCACCCTTTTTGTTATCTTGTTCTTGTATCTGTAAAAGCTAACATGTCTCATTTTTACTTTCTGTATTTGAAAA